GCCAGGACTGGCTCCGTCAGGTCGCGGCGGATCCCGGCTGCGATCCACGGGGCGCTTCCACGCCGCCCCTCTCTCCTTTGGCTGCTGCGGCTGTTACAGCTAATCCACAGAGCCGGGCCGGGCGCCTTTCACCTGAGGCGGGGTGGCGGGAAGCGGCGAAGGAAGAAAGGAGCTGGTTGTCACCACCACCTTTCGATCCAGGAAGGCCCGGAGGCCCATTCCTCTCCAGAGCTGCATGCAAGCGCCTGGCCGCACCTTTGACTCTTCGCAGCAAGGAGGGGGCCAGAAACAGGGGCGAGCCTGGCGACGGAGCTTGAGAAGGCGGGAGGGGAGATCAGGTGCGGGTGGAGCCCCGAGTCGACGGCAGAGAAAGACGCTTAGACAGATCCTGGGAAGCAGCAACGAGGTGACTTTTAAGTGCCTGCGCCGCCTTCTTTTCCCTTCTCCGTACTGGGTTTATATCCGAGTCTTGTTCTCAGTGTCCTCCCAAGCCCTTCCTGGCCAGTTGCTTCGGAGAAAAAAAATAAAACAAGTATTAATCCAGTATCCCGGACGCATCCGGGATTGGAAGGAAGTTCTAGGTTGTCTGGGTTGCAAAACCCTGGCGCACCGCTAGAGGGCGGGCAGCAGAGAGTGGCTTCCGTAGCGCTTTGCTGCTGTTTGGAGAGCCTCTGAGTTGTTTGTGGCCTAGAAAGCTAGGCCTAGTCCTAGTCCTGCCTGCCTCAGGCTTTGCTCTCCCCTCAGCAGTGAGGGCGCCACCCGGATCCCCAAATGCAGCAGCAATGGCTTGCCCCGTTTGAAAGGTAGGAAATCTCCTAATTCAGTTCCACCTCCAGAAGACAAGGCCAGAGCTGAGTCTAAAACTTCCAACGTGCAATTATTGTTCAAAAGCCTCTGCTGCTCCTTCAGAGGTTATAGCCTTAAGGAGGAGAAAATATGTTGTTTCTTTATGACTTGGAGCTTACTTTCTGGAGTTGGGGTTATATCCTGCATACATATCAGGGGAAGCCCAGGCCTCCAGCCTCCTCTAGTGTGATGCTTTCCCTCAAACTGCTGGCCAGAGGGAATACTGTACTGTGATGCTAAAGAAAGTGCTCCAAACGCAGCAGTGCAAAGACACACTCAGGTACAAAGGAAACAACTAGATATAGAAAAGATAACAGAATCATGAAAACATGGCTCATGGAAGCTGAATACAGAGTGCATTTACCTAGGGCGTGGGATTGTGGAAGCTCAAAGCGGGGTGACCATAAATTACCCATTTCATTTAATTCACTTATCCACAAAGGTGTATTTGAAATTTACCACATTCCAAGCTAATATTTTCTAGAAAATACAATTGGGGGAAAGGACGACTTCCTGTAGTGTCAATGGACAAGAGCCTTCTGGACTGATGTGAGGGTTCAGTGGAAACCAGAGATGATCCAGTTGATCAGAACCATACAATTGATTTGATCTGATACTACTTTCCTGGAGAGTCAAGCTGAACAAAATGGGAAGGTCCTGATTCATGAGTGTTTAGTTAAGTGTCCTGCAGATGCAAAGGAGCAGAAGGCCAACACGTGATCTAGAGCAGTGTTTTTCAAACTTGGCACCTTTAATTCCCTAGCATGCTGGCTAGGGAATTCTGGGAATTGAAGTCCACACATCTTAGTCAAGTTTGAAAAACACTGATCTGGAGGGTACTGGCTTGGGGAAAGTGGTGCCAACTGAGAGGCGTTAAAATGCCCAATTAGGGTCAGAAATAGTCACCCAGCAAGTTTCTTTTTCTGAAGTTTTAAGGAAAATTGAGGTCTTTATAGTAGCTGAATAGAGCTGCGTGGGGAGCAACTATAACTTAATGGTTAGCATATGTTTGCATACAGATGGTCCCTGGTTCTGGGATAAAAATACTATGGCTCTGTCATTAAGCACCTGCAGAAGGCCTTAAATTCAACCTCAGCATTTTCAGTCAGGCTGGGGAAAAAAACTTCCTGAGAAATCCTGCTAGTGTAGTCAGGAAGGAGTAAATAGATCACTAGCACATTACATTTACTTTAAAAGCTACTTAACTTTTTTAATATACATTTTCCTAAGAAGAGTCAATGCAAGCTGTCCTCTAAAACCCATATTTGTATGCACAGAAAACCAATATCCTTTTTGTGTTCACTTTTTTTTAACAGCATGTCTAAAAGGTCTGTTCTATAGCTGAATATAGATGTGTGCACTTTATATCTGGAGTGATTTTCCTGTCCTGTGTGCGTGGCTTTCTAAACGACCATTCTCATCTCATCCTTCTCTGCTTATCTCCCATATTTTCCTACTTAAGAAAGTTTGCATGGTTAAACATTACACCATACTCCCCCAAATCTGAACACGTGGGAAATGCACAGAATGATGGGAACTCTCAAGTACAATGCTCCTGTTGGAAACAAAAAAGTAGCAGTGCACAGTGGGAAAATCTCTGTGCCCTCCACCTTCTGAGTGGTTATCCTTCTCCCCCTCTGCCTCTTGCCCAGATTTCCCAGACTAGTGCAAATGCTTCTTTTCATCCTATGGTCTTATTGTTAGGAATCATTTTCTAAGCAAGAGCTAGTCCTGTCTCCGCTCCTCATCCTGTTTGCATGCCACCCACAGCAGGAAGAGTTCCCACGGCTTCAGGGTCCCCCAAACCCATGCAAGGGGGGCTGGGGAGGATTATTAAGGGGAGGGGAAAGAGGCTGTAGTGAGGATGAGAGAGCAGTGAACTGCTGATTAAGGGAGGGGGCTGTGATTATCCCCACTGCCAGCAGGTGCCAGTGGAAGGCGTTCCATGGGGATCCGGGTGCTTAGCAACACGCTGTGGAGCGCAAACAGGGCAGAAGCAGATGGGACCTGAAAAAACAGGCAAGACATGGGGGACCCATACCTCCCAAGAGGATATAGGGTCCGGATCACATTCCTGGAACCAGGAAATGTCTCCCAAACCCCTTTAGAGGGAAAATACCCTAGAAAGGAAACAAATCACTTGTTTACCTGCCAATTATTTCCTGACACCAGATAGCTTTGCAGGATGGTTGTACCTGTTATAGGCTAAGTCAGAGGGAGATTGCTCTGCCTTCTTCATCCCATCAAGACTAACTGCTGCCCATCCATTTTAAGGTCTTCTCCACATACTGAGATTGGGAAAAAAGACAGAAAATCCAAAACAGTTGATATTGATCAAATATTCTAGAGAACCTACTTTTTTCCCATCTGCCTTTTGTCTGTACTGCCTAGCTTAATAATTTAGACTCTCAGGGGAGGGCAACAGATTCTAGATGAACCTTTCTGACTATGCTTGCTAAAAATTGACACTCCATTTCCTACTATTTTGATGCAGGATATTCAAAAACCATAGTGTGAGCCCTAAAAGCAAGCATAACATAGTTTTAAAACATTCAAAGAAAATCCACCAGTTCTTCCACAACAAGAAGAAAAAACCCACGCCAGCATTGCCTGCATGTGTATATAGCTTTGGCTATTTTGCTGGGGCAGGACCCCTAAAACTCTTTCTGTAGCTCTCAGTCACAGAAAAGTTGCCAACCCCAACTTAGATGACTGCATTTGGGGAGTCAGCTGAGGCCAAGCCTTAGGGTCAGAATTCCTGAGCTGCAGTGCTAGACACGATAGTCAAACAAGCCCAAGAAATTGACGTGCTTTGGCTTCTTTAACAAAGCGAGAAACAAGAGATAAGCTGGAAGTGCACATAACTGAACTAGAAGTGGGGAAGGTATGGAGAAGGCAAAGCAGTTCAGAAGGGAGAGAAGATAAATTGCAGAAAAAGGATTCCAGCCTTAGGGGCCTTTCTGTGGAATGTCAGGTATTCCTTCCCCCTCCCTGCCATGTCTGCAGATTTGTCTCTTTTCATGTCTTCCCTCTCTGATCTCCCCCCTCTCCATCCAGTGATCCTGCTTCACTTTCTACCAGGCTCTCAGGAGCAAAAAACCTAGATGCCATCCAGGATGGCCATCAGCTGCCAGCCTTCAAGTAAAATCCAATCTATAGCAGTTTCCTAACTAATCAACAGATCCTGGAAGTAGTTCCTCCACCCCATGCTTTTGTTTCTTCCCTGCATGTTTGCTCACCATCCTCTTCCTCTTGCTGTCATAGCTGATTCTAAGAGCCCTCCAGCATGAAGAAGCAGGAAGAGACCCTTTCAGCAAAGAGAAACAGGCCTGATGTCTTAGCCTGAGGCCCTACATTACTAGGAAAAGACTATGTCCTCCTGTTTAGATAAATAGCAGCAATTACCATCAGTGCATGCAGCAATAAAACATACAACATATCCCAACTTACATATACAGCTGATGAGGATAATGAAGCATTAATAACAGAATTATACTTCAAAATGACATTGCTTAGAATTTTGGTGGAAAGATAGGTTCACATTTTTGAAGAAAATTATTCATAGCCCCTGTAGTCTAGATTGTAAACTTTATATGATTATTTGCAACCAGTTGTTCAATTCAGCTCTGTTCTTCCAAGTTTTTAACACCAATAGAGGCGAATATGTGTAGCTCAGGGTTGAACTGTGGAGTCCTTGGGGTTCTCTGAGCTTG